GCTTTGGGCCCAATACGAAAATGAATAAAAAACCCCAAAAAAATGAAAAACTGATTAATCTCTTGATTAAAACTAATAAACTCTAAACAAAACATTAAAACCCTAATTAACTCTATAAAAATGATTAAAGCTCTAATTAATTCTATATTATCCTAATTAAACCTAAAAAAACAATTAACCTAATTAAACTCTAAAAAATGATTAAAAGTCTAATTAATTCTATATTAAAATTCTAATATTATTTAATATCTATCAAGATCTATTATTAATAAAAGAAAAGACTGTATTATTTTCTATATTATCTAAAAAACAATTAAACCTATTTTAAAATCTATACAAAATTCTAAAAATGATTTAAAAACAATTAAACCTATTTTAAAATCTATAGAAAAATTCTAAACTATTAACATCTATTAGTAATAAAAGAAAAAACTATATTCCCCTTTTTCTTTATTATTCTAAAAACTATTTAAAATCTTATTTATATTCTAAAAATCTATTTAAAAATTCTATAAAATCCTAAAAAGAGAATTAAACTATTAAAAAATACAAAAACCTTATTTAAATTCCAGAAAAATCTATAAAGCCTATCTAAAATTCACAAAAGTCTATAAAAATCCTAAAAATGCAGATGAATGCAAATGACCGCCATAAAAGAGCGCACGAGACCAGATTGAATCGAACAGAGATCCCCGGGCATCGGAATATCCTCAAAATCACTGTGCAAGCTAAAAATCACCGAGGAGCGCACAATTTCCTGAAAATAAAACCCTGGTGATCTGGACTGGATCTGCCATATCTGATAGACGAAAATCAAGCTGTAAACTCTGATATCCTCCGTTTGCACAAAAATCATCTGTATGATTTGCGAATATGAATTTAAACCACGAGTCAGATAGGAGAATCGGTTGGTCAAATTTTAGGGTGCAACACAAGGCAACCAAAGAGGTGGTGCTGCAGGTAAAGGAAGAGGTGGCGGTCGAAAGCCAGACAAAAGCCACATTCAGTGTTTCAATTGCCAGAAGTATGGTCATTATGCTAGTGATTGTCCAGAAAGGAAGAGAAATCAAGATACTGATGCAAAGCTGGCGAAACATAAAGAAGAAGAAACATTGCTAATGGTCACAACAAAAGATGAAGAAAGATTCCAAGATCAGTGGTACTTGGACTCAGGATGCTCATCACACATGACTGGAAGGAAAGAATGGTTTGTCAACATGAAGCCCTCGTCGAAGAACACCGTGAAGTTTGCAAATGACAACACTCTAGCAGCCGAAGGTGTTGGTGATGTTCTAATTATGAGGAAAGATGGCAAAAGGTCAATAATTTCCAATGTGTTGTACATACCAAGCATGAAGAGTAATTTGCTCAGCATAGGGCAGCTTGTCGAAAAGAACTACAAGGTAGTTGTCGAAGACAAGATGATGAGAGTTCCGACGCAGGTGGTAGATTAATCTTGAAGGCTCCAATGTCTCAGAATAGGACCTTCAAGATTGGACTCAATATGATGGAGCACAGATGTCTAGCAACTGCAGCCAGCAGAGCTGAGTGGTTATGGAATTTTCGACTAGGTCATCTCAACTTTAAAGACATCATAGAACTGAAGAGAAGAAATATGGTTTCAGGATTACCAGAAATCGACGATCCAAGTGAAGTCTGTGAAGAGTGTGTTCAGTCGAAACTACACAAGAATAGCTTCAGCAAGGATGCATGAAGGAAGTCGAAGGCAATACTTGAAGTCATATACTCTGATGTATGTGGTCCAATCCAGGTGGATTCGATTGGTGGCAATAAATACTTTGTCACGTTTATAGATGATCACAGTCGAAAGTTGTGGACTTACCTAATCAAGAAGAAAAGTGATGTGATTGAGGTATTTTCCAGATTCAAGTCCATGGTCGAAAGACAGAGTGGTCGAAAGCTGAAAATTCTGAGGACTGATGGTGGTGGAGAGTATGTGTCGAAAGAGTTCGATACACTATGTGTAAAAGAAGGGATTGTGCATGAGGTGGTGCCACCTTACACTCCACAACAAAATGGGATTGCAGAATGCAAGAATAGAACCATCATGAATATGGTGAGAAGTATGTTGAATGGAAAGCATTTACCTAAAGAATTATGGGGAGAAGCAGTTTCGACATCAACATATATATTAAACAGATGTCCGACGAAGAAGCTTGAAGGAATCACACCAGAAAAATGTTGGTCTGGTGTCAAGCCTAGTCTCAGTCACTTGAAGGTATTTGGATCTATAGCACATAGACATGTGCCAGATCGGTTGAGAAGGAAGCTTGATGATAAGTCGAATCAGATGATCTTGATAGGATATCATTCGACATGAGGTTACAAGTTGTTCGACCCAGTGAATAAGCAGGTGGTGATCAGCAGGGACGTGATCATAGATGAGCTTAAAGAATGGGATTGGACTGAGAATGCCAAGAAGGATTCAGTGAGAATCTCTTGTGAAGAACCAGCCACTGAATTCGAAATAGAAGTTCGACAGGAACTAGTTGCAGATGAAGCAGGTTCAAGCAGACCTCGACGAACAAGACAAATGCCTGCAAGGTTGCAAGAATGTGTAATTATATCAAATGATGTAGTCGATAAAGAGGGTGAGCTGGTACACTATGCTTTCTACGCAGATATCGAACCAGTCAATGCAGCTGAGGCATTGAAAGATTCGAAGTGGATGAAAGCAATGATTGAAGAGTTGGAGTCCATCGAAGTCAATGATACCTGGTCACTTGTCGAATTGCCACAAGGCAAGAAGACAATTGATGTGAAGTGGGTTTACAAGGTAAAGGTAAATCCTAAAGGAGAAGTAACTCGACACAAGGCGAGACTTGTGGCGAAAGGATTTCTTCAGAAGGAAGGAATCGACTTTGATGAAGTATTCGCACCTGTTGCTAGAATCGAAACAATCAGGTTGGTTGTTGGTCTAGCAAATATGAACAACTGGCACACATGTCAGATGGACGTGAAGTGTGCATTCCTTAATGGCCCCTTAGACGAAGAAGTTTATGTTGCACAACCAGCTGGGTTTGTGAAACAAGGCAAAGAAAGAAAGGTGTACAGGCTTCATAAAGCCCTGTATGGACTTAAGCAAGCTCCAAGAGCTTGGAATAAGAAAATCGACAGCTTCTTAAGGGAGAAGGAATTTGTGAAATGTACAACTGAGCATGGAGTATATGTAAGAAAAAGCAATGGCGAATTGCTTATACTATATCTCTATGTTGATGATTTGTTGATAACAGGGAGTTGCAAGAAGGAGATCAAAGATTTCAAACATGACCTAAGTGAGGAGTTTGAAATGTAAGAATTGGGAAATCTCTCATATTTCCTTGGCATCGAATTCTACAAGACAAGTAGAGGTTTTATGATGCACCAAAGAAGATATGCAGGTCGAAGCCTTCAGAAGACTAAGAGCCATGATGAATGTAGACAGTTTAGACACAATGAATTAGGTGGTGTGTTAAATGTAATTCATTGTTTTGATTTGATTTGATATGATTAGATTTAATTTGAATATTTTGGGCCTTTTATGGTTTGGGCTTTTGTAAACCTAAAACTATAAATAGGGTGTCTTGCTTTGTATTCAATCACAACAAAACAGATTATACAGTTGCAGTTAGCAAGTGAAAGTTCAATAAGAAATCCCACAGTTGTGGGTAACACATTCTCTCCAAATATTTTCTTCTCTCATTCTTCTCTTTCTTGTTTGTTCTTCTTTTTCTTTGTTGTTCTTGATAATTACTTGTTATTACCATTACTATCATATTGTGGGTTTGTTCATCAATCTTGAGATCAAGATTGAAGGGAATTCTTCATAGGGTGTGAGGTGAATTTCCAACAGAAACATCTTTCAAATAGTTTGAAGTTTAAATTAAAGTTGTTGTAAATTAGTTACAGATTAGTTAAGAATTAGATACAAATTAGTTATCATTTTTGGATTTTAAATATGATGTTAGTATAAAATAGAAACAATTGACACATGACATTCATGTCAGCATTTTTTACCACGTTAACATTGTCATGTGCATGTTAAGCATTTTTTACCACGCTGACATTGTCATGTGCATGTCATGTCATCAAAAAAATTTACGTGGCATACCATGTCAGCCTCTATCTATGGAAACTAACGGAAGAGATCAATTTTATGGACGAAAAAATTTACGAGCACCATTGTTTGAAGAAAATTTTTAGAAAGACTAAAGTTGAATGTTGGCATATTTATGAGAATTTCTGATATATTTAACCATATTATTTATGGTGTTGATTTTTTGAATTAATGTATGACTTTTTGCTTTCATTTAACTTTAGTAAAACTTGGTTTTATTTTGATTTTACTTCAATACAAGTTGGCCTAAAAAAATTACAATGTTGAAATGATTAGGGGGCTTTAAAAAATGAATCTCCGAAATATTCCCCTTACAATTAACAAACTTCCAATAACTTTTATGAGACTTTTCAAAGACACATATCCTAAAACCTCTAATTAGCACTTAGAGATGTATTTTTCAACCATATTTTATTCAAAATAAAATAAATGTACAGAGATATATCTGTGAAAACTTAAAAAATAATTTTAAATTTTTAAAGATGTGAGATATACACAAGAGCCTCTTCCCTATTATTTTGGTATGAGTCAAGTCATCCATAAAAAAATTGGATCATTCAAGTCTTACTAAGAGCAACTTTAGCGCATAGTTGTTAAACCAAAATTTTGTATAACTTACGTTAGTAATAAAGAATTTGCATTATAGTCTTACTAAAGTTTAGTTTTCATTATCAATATTGTTAATGTTAACTATTCAATGTGAAACATATTTTAATATTATTTAATATTAATAAAATATTCCAACGACATGATATTTGAAAATAGTAACAGTCATATTACCATTTTTTACTTTTATAAATTCTATAGAAACATTAATTTTTTTTACACACAATTTTACTTCTAAATTTTTTTCTTTCAATTTCCAATCTTATTTATTTATCAAATGGATCCCAACCAATGGAATCCTTATTATAATTATTTACCAACTCCCACTGGTGACAGTTCTCAAAATTTTCAAATGTGTCCGCGACCATCGCTCCCTATTGGTGACGGTTTTCAAAATCTCCAATCTTTTATGTTTCAATCACCACCATTCTCTACCAGCAACAATTCTCAATATACCCGACCGTTTATGTTTCAACCACCACCAACCATCGACATTGTAGAGTCTCCTAACGTTGAATCCGAATCACCAATTGGGTCCATTACAGATTCTCAAGTGCCAGGCAACTCCACTCAGGATGGTCTAGAAAATATTACTTTTACGGAAGAAGGAGAACGTTCAACCCAAAAAAAACAGCGTCTCAGGTTCTTAGAAGAAGAAGATAGTTGCTTATTCAGACATGGCTTAACATTTCCAAAGATTCAATAGTCGGAGTTGACCAAAAAGCAGATAGTTTTTGGGATAGAATCAATGATGGCTATAACAACTATCGTGGACCACTTATAGCGAGAGAGTGGTCTACACTCAAATCTCGATGGCATCTATTGAATAAACATTGTCAATGGTTTTGCGAAAACTACAAACTAACTGTTGCTAACAAGAAAAGTGGACAGTCTGAGACAGACGTCATGGAAGAGGCACGTAAAAATTTTGTCCAAGTGCATCATCAACGTTTCACAATGGAGCACGCGTGGAGGTTGTTGAAGGATGAACCTAAATGGAAGGGGCAAGAAATGAACAACTCTTCAAAGAGATCAAAGATATCCTCTACCAGGACATATTCATCGTCATCTAATCTAGAAAATCCCATAGATTGTTCAGAATACAACAGTGCAACTCAGACCGACCACCCAGCAGTACAAAAGGCGGCAAAAAGGAAGGGCGAGGGAAAAACATATCCATCTATAACACCCATAGTGGATTTGATTGTCATGGAAAGGGTCTCAGAAAAGAAATTAGCTATCTATGGTAAAAATAGATGAAGCAAAGTTGGCAGAGAGTATACCCGTGTTGTATGCAATTCTTCACGAGAGCATGAAAAAATTTGTCAAAGTATCAAGGAGAAGTACTTCAAGAGAAGCTAGGTGTATTATTAATATTATTATTATTATTATTATTATTATTATTATTATTATTATTATTATTATTATTATTATTATTATTATTATTATTATTATTATTATTATTGTTGTTGTTGTTGTTGTTGTTGTTGTTTAGGTTTGAATATGCATTTCATATTATTGTAATTTTGTTTTAAATGATTGTTATTTTAATGTTGTATCTATGTTTCAAATTAGCTATGTAAAACTAGCCGTTATAAAAAAACTAGTCGTTGTAAAACTAGCCGTTATAAAAAACTAGCCGTTGTAAAACTAGCCGTTGTAAAACTAGCCGTTATAAAACTAGCCGTTGTAAACTAGCCGTTATAAAACTAGCCGTTATAAAAAAAACTAGCATATATATACCTCACATGTTTTCCCATTATATTATTTTCATCATATCTTCCATGGATCCAAATGCTGAATGGGATAAAATCTGGAATGAAGTCGTAGATGATTGCCTTAACGACAACACTGAGGAAGATGTGATAAGGTTGGTACGAGAGGTGCAACAACAAGCCAACAATACAAGTAAGCATAGAAAAAGAAGAACGGTGATAGATCGAAGTCGTGAAGAAGGGCATCATCGATTGTTCAATGACTACTTCTCTGAAAATCCTGTATACACGGAGGCTCAATTCAGACGAAGGTTCCGTATGCGAAGACATGTGTTCCTTCGCATTGTTGAAACTCTTGGAAATCATGATGAGTACTTTCAAAGAAGGATTGATGTAGTGGGTAGAATGGGCCTTTCACCATTGCAGAAGTGCACAACTGCTCTTCGTATTCTAGCATATGGATCACCAGCTGACAGTGTGGATGACTATGTTTGAATTCGAGAAAGCACGACATTGTAGTGCTTAGACAGGTTTGTTTAGGCGTGTGCACAATATTTGGTGCTCAATACATGAGAAGGCCAAACAATGAAGACATTGCACACCTACTACAAATTAACGCGGCACGCGGCTTTCCAGGTATGTTGGGTTCAATTGATTGTATGAATTGGGAATGGAAAAATTGTCCTGTCGCATGGAAAGGTCAATTTTCTAGATGTGATCATGGTAAACCCACAATCATGCTTGAAGTTGTGGCATCTCAAGACTTGTGAATTTGGCATGCATATTTTGGAACTGCGGGTTCTAACAACGACATTAATGTGTTAAACACGTCTGATGTGTTTAATGATGTTTTGAATGGAAAAGCTCCTACAGTACAATACTCGGTGAATCGAACAACATATCATATGAGGTACTACCTAGCGGATGGCATTTATCCTAAGTGGGCAACATTTGTCAAGACCATCCCTATGCCGCAAGGAGAAAAGAGAAAGTTATTTGCCAAACGACAAGAATCAGCACGGAAGGATGTTGAACGGGCATTTGGAGTGCTCCAAGCCCGATTCGTTATTGTACGTGGTCCAGCGCGTGCTTGGCATGTGAATACAATGAAACACATAATGTTAGCATGTATCATATTGCATAACATTATTGTCGAAGATGAGCGAGACACATATGCTAGTAATTTTGATTACGACCATGTTGATAATAATTTCTCCACAACAGAAGTATCTACTGGTCCAATTCCCAACTTGACAACAATGTTTGAAAGGATATCACATGTTCATCAGAGGCAAAATCATCGCCAACTTCAAGCAGACTTGGTGGAACATATTTGGGAGAGATTTGGTCATGAGAACAACGAAAGTTAGTTTGTCTTATTTTATATTTCTGTTAAAATATAATTTGTTGCTTATTGTCATGTATTATTTTATATTTCTATGAAAATGTAATTTTTTTTATGTATTATTGTTGTGAATTTTGTATCATTTTTAATTTTATAATAAAATATATTTAATATTATTTCTAAGTTTTTAAGGTAAATTTTATTAAAAAAATTGTATGCATTTTAATTAAAATAATTAAATTAATGGTAACTTGAATAAAAAATATAAAATGTGGGGTCAGATTTTGTTTTCTTATAAACAACTATCATTAAAGTAAAAACTACTCAATTCAATTATAAATTTTTTAAATCCTACAAAATACATTAGACCCACAAAAAATATCTTAATTTACTTATTTAATTTATTTCTATTAAAAATGTTCTAATGGACTAAGAGATGATCATTTAGAGACACGCCATTCAAGACATCGGTTTTTGTAGAACACCAAATAACAAAAAAAAATTGCAGGATTCATTGAAATATATCTCCTGAAACAATGGTCAGTACAAAAAAATTTAATACATCCAAATTCAAGAATACAGCAATGAAGCCTAAAAATTGTCCAAACTCAAATAATCGTTAAAAAGTCTAAAATCTCACACCATTTTCACTATATTAATCGACAATGTTTATGTAAACACATCTCACCACTTGACATAGTCACAAGGATACACTAATCTTTTCACAAAAATAAATATACTGATAATTAATAATTATTTTTTTGGGAATGTACAAAAGAATATTGTGTTATTTGTACACACAAATTACAATAAAATAATAACTTAATTTGAATCAATTTAAAACAATGGACTTAATTAGGACAATTATTAATTAAAGGCCAGAAGTGAATGGTACACCAGTGGAAGGTAACCACGTGGCACCAGCAAGGAGGCTATTAACGGTGAATGGTAATGCTTGGGCTGGGCTTTTCATAACTTGATAACCAGACCATCTTACTCTATTTCTTGTTGATGAGCCCGGCCCAAAGTTATTATACTCTCCATAAAATAGAGTGCTTTGAGCAAAATTACTACCTCCCCATGGAGACCAACCCATTGGGCTTACCAAATTATCTAAGAATGATTTCATAACCACAACTCTAGAGTATCTTTGCCAAGGTCGGCCCAAGAAGGTATTGAATTTCCCAACAACGGGCTTGAAATCTGGCGCAGCCTTAATCTGAGAGTTATGGATTACAATACCAGTGTTCTGAAATGGATCATCTCGACCTTGGGCAGTGATCATGTTTGCTTGGCCGTTTAGAGGTTTTCTTACAAGAATTATGCAATTTTGAAAAACTACCGCTGCATTGCCAAAAATGAAGTCGACAGTGCCATAGATGTAGCATTCTCTGAAAAATTGACGTTGCGCGTGAACCATAAGAGTATCTTGGTAGCCTTTAAAAGCACAACGGTAAAAGACAGAGAGGTCTGAGGCAGATCGTAACGCCACTGCTTGACCTCTGTAAGGTCCTGCGGTATTTTCAAATGTAATGTCGCGTGCAATGAAGTGGAGACCATCAATTCCTATATTCACAAAAAATAAGTAAATATAGAGTAATTCTTTACACGAGATAAGTAGTTTTAACATATAATCTTTGGACATTATTATAAATAAATATTCCATTTTTATATTTATTGAACAATCGATGTATTTAATCTCAAAAAACACATAATATATAGAATCTCTGGACATCAGTTATTCAATAAACTTGAAATAAAATTTGTTATTGTAAAAATGACCATAACAAAACGGCATTGAAATGTGTTTATGCTAATCTCAGTTTATTTTTTATCTTTTACTTTTGAAAAGTATTATAATAATCCTTTAACTTTTCAAAACATATTTTGTTAATACTTTTAATGTAATTAAAAAAAAAAAAAAAACTCACATATCAATCACTAAATTTGCTGTTAATCAGACGGAAAAACAACTAAAATCATACGAAATGAAAAGTTAAAACATCAATACTATACTTTTTGAAATTAAGATACAAAAATCAAACTTGTGGTTAACATATAGAACTAAAAAGAAATTGGGGTTAACTTATCAAATTTGCAAAAATTATTTAACAATAAACAAATACTCAACTTCATATTCTAAAAACTGGGGAAGAAAAGTAGAAACAGAGCAAGAGAAAATAGAAAGAAAAAAATAACTTATGATAATCACCTGCAGTGGCAGAACTATAGGTTGTAAAACCAGCTTTAACATTTCTACTACTTGTTATTATCGTATTCCTACTTCCATCACCAACCAACATAATATTATCATTCATCTTCCCGACCTCAATATTCTCTCTATAAACACCTCTCTTCACACGTATAACAAATCTTGTCTTAAACCTTCTCCTCCCAGCAGCATTTATAGCCTCTTGAACTTTCCTAAAATGCCCCGAACCATCTTTCGCGACCACAAGATTGGCCTTAATAACCCTAGAAGTTTCCAGAAGCTTCCTCTCCCGAACCGAAAACCACCTCGGAAATGCTTCATCGGTAACATCGTCCGTGTAACGAACACGGCCGTCGCGTTTAACGAACTCCCAGTTGATGAACAAACCATTGCTTATGATCTCTGTCATGTTTACTTTCATAATTGGTGTGATGAAATTTGGAATGTTTAAGTCTAATGCCCCATTTCGACATGTTTCAATGTTTGTGTAAGCAGTGCTTAACCATGTTTGTGCATCAAATGATGAACATGTTTTCTTGACATGGAGATTTGAGAATGTTCGGTTGAGATGAAAAACTGTGTTGTCGTAGAGTTTCAAACAGTCGCGTGACACGGTTTTTTGTTTCTTGTTTATGATAGAGTTGTTTTGTCTGAATTCACGCGCCGTGTTTCGCATGATCACTGCTCTTTCTAATGCTAAATGGATGAGAATTTCTCGGAATTTTGATTTGTGTTTGATGCTTTTGTTGTGATAGTAATGAGTTTGTTTTGTGTAGTATTTGCATGGTTCTGGGTGTGGTGTTTGGTTACACCACCAATCTATGTTGTTGTTGGAAGATCTTGATCTTCTTTTTGATGAGTTGGCTATTGAGAAAATTGATGATAACAATAATAGTGTTAACAATGTTTTTCTCATGATGATTGTCATTTTGGTGTTTTTTTTTTCAGCTTGATGTGATGCACAAGATGTTATATATTTCTAAGGATACCTTTGTTAATTGCTTAGAGTGGCAGCAAGTTTTTTTTTAAAATTTTTTATTTATGTTTGTGGAAGAGTGTAAGTATGGGTAAATGAGGTGTCGGTGTGGATGAATTGTGAAAGGAAAAAAGTAATGATGGAGGAGATGAAATATCAAACATGTTATTGTGATTGCAAGAATATGTGATTAGTGGTATGGGGCTTTGCTTGCTTGTAACTCTATGATCTTTTGATTAATTAAGTAATTCAGTTAGGTTCATTTATTTAATATAGAAGAAAAAAATGACAAAGAATGGGACTAAAATTTATTATAGTATAGAAGAATAGCCATTATTTGAAAATGATAAAGAATGGGACTAAAATTTATTAGGTTAAGTGAACCGATGTTGCAAGTCTAAATAGAACGGAGGTTGGGAGTTTGTGATATTTGTCTGAATAATTTGACCTACTTAATATATGGCGTTGGAGATTGGCTTTAGGTGCTTCTAGTTTGTGAAGTGAGATTCTTGTTGCTTGATATGGTTCTTAGGTGTTAGGGTGTAATCAAAGAGAATCAATTGTCAAATCAGTTGAAAATTCAGTTAAAATTTATAAAGAATTTCACTCAATCAATTTTAATCTTAAGATTATTTCAACGCACGTAATGACAATGAAAGAAATTTTTTTTTTAAAAAAAAGTAAATTTTGGAGAAGAAGAAGATGAATAATTTTCTGTAGAGAATTCTCTGCCACAAACTATGAAAATTCTGTTATTTCACTTGCAACTGCAAACAGTGAATTATAAAATATGATGAGTTGTTTATAAAATAACGGTTTTTTCCTATTTATAGATTTAGGTTTGCTTGTACCCCAAATAAAAAAACCAAAACTATAAAAGCGCAAAATAACTAACATTACTAAAATAGGCCTAAGTTGAAATCATGTGTGAATCAACTTGCTTCGACACTTCAACACACTAAGCAAGTCGACACACTAACACATTATGCTAGTTTAACTAATCCTTGTTTCTATCGAGCTACACTACTTCGACACAAGGAATTACAAACTCAACATACCACCTAATTCATTGTGTCTAAGCTATCTACATTCATCATAGGCCTTAGCCTTCTAAACACTTCGACTTGCACTCCCTTCGTCATGATGTCTGCAATCTGATTCTCAGTTCTGCAGTGTTTCAAATTCATCTTCTCTTCTGATACCTGCTCTCGAAGATAATGGAACCTCATTTCTATGTGTTTGTTTCGACCGTGTGTTATTGGATTCTTCTTCAAGTTGATAGCTGACATGATGTCGATCTTCATGGTAATTGCTCCATGACTCTTGGTTGTGATCTCTTCGACCAGGTTCACCATCCAGGTTACTTGACATGCACAAAGAGAAACAACTATATATTCTACTTCACATGATGACAATGACACTACTGGCTCCTTTCTCGAACTCTAAACAACTGGTGCACCACCTAACATAAACATATAGCTAGCTGTAGGGTTTCTATCCTCAACATTACTACACTAACTAGAATCGGTGTATCCTACTAACTTGCATTCTTTTTCTTCATCATCTGTAGGAAACAAAATACCGTAGTCGAGAGTCCCTTTTAGATACCTCAGTATCCTCTTCGCCGTTGCTAGGTGTGATGCCTGTGGCTTCTGCATGAATCTAATTAGCATACCTACATTGTATGCTAAGTCAGGCCTTGTGTGGCAGAGGTATCAAAGCGACCCAATAAGTTGTCTATATTTGGTTGGATCGACATCATCTTTGTCTAAATCCTTCAACAGTTGCGATCTGGTCTCAGCTAGAGTTGAAGTTAGGTTACAATCTTGCATCTCAAATCTCTTGAGTATTTCACCTGCATATCTTCTTTGGTGCATCATCAAACCTCTAATACTCTTGTTGAATTTGATGCCAAGGAAATATGAGAGATTTCTCAAGTCTGACATTTTAAACTCCTCACTCAAGTGATGTTTGAAGTCTCCGATCTCCTTCTTGCGACTTCCTGTTATCAATAGGTCATCGACATAGAGGCATAATATAAGCAGTTCACTACTGCTTCTTACATACACTCCATGCTCATTCGTACACTTAACAAATTCTTTCTCCCTTAAGAAGCTGTCAATTTTCTTATTCCAAGCTCTTGGAGCTTGCTTAAGTTCATACAGGGCTTTATGTAGCCTGTACACCTTTCTTTCTTTACCTCGTTTCACAAACTTAGCTGGTTGTGCAACATAAAATTCTTCGTTTAAGGGACCATTCAAGAATGCACATTTTACGCCCATATGACATGTATGCCAATTGTTCATATTTGTTAGACCAACAACCAATCTAATTGTTTCGATCCTAGCAACAGGTGCAAAAACTTCGTCAAAGTTGATTCCTTCCTTCTGGAGAAATCCTTTCGCCACAAGTCTCGCCTTGTGTCGAGTTACTTCTCCTTTAGGATTCACCTTCACCTTGTAAACCACTTCACATCATTTTCCTTCTTACCTTGAGGCAGATCAACAAGTGACCAGGTGTTGTTGACTACGATGGAGTCTAACTCCTCATTCATTGCTTTCATCCACTTCAAATCTTTCAATGCCTCAACTGCATTGACTGGTTCAACAACAGCGTAGAAAGCATAGTGTACCAGCTCACCTTCTTCATCGACCACATCATCTGATGTAATCGCACATTCTTGCAACTGCAGACATGTGTCTTGTTTTTCGAGGTCTGCTTGGCTCAGCTTCATCTCTAACTTGTTTATGTCGAACTTCTCTTTTAACTTCAATAGCTGGTTCTTCACAAGAGATTTTCACTGAATCCTTCTTGACATTCTCAGTCCAATCCCATTCTTTTAGCCGATCTATGATCATGCCCCTACTGATCACTACCTCCTTATTCACTAGGTCGAACAACTTGTAACCTCCAGTCGAATGATATCCTGTCAAGATCATCTGATTCAACTTGTTATCAAGTTTCCTTCTCAACTGATCTAGCACATTTCTATGTGCTATAGATATAAACACCTTCAAATGACTGAGACTAGGCTTGACACTAAACCAACATTCTTCTGGTGTGATTCCTTCAAGCTTCTTTGTCAGACATTTGTTTAATATGTATGTTGCTGTCGAAACTGCTTCTCCCCATAATTCTTTGGGTAGATGCTTTCCATTCAACATACTTCTCACCATGTTCATGATGGTTATGTTCTTTCTTTCTGTAATTTCTTTTTGCTGTGGAGTGTAGGATGGTACCACCTTATGCACATCCCTTCTTTTTCACATAATGCATCAACTCTTTCGACATATACTCTCCACCACCATCAGTCCTTAGAATTTTCAACTTTCAACCATTATGTCTTTCTACCATAGATTCGAATATGGAAAATACCTCAATCACATCACTTTTATTCTTGATGAGGTAAGTCCATAACTTTCGACTATAATCATCTGTGAACGTGACAAAGTGTCTGTTGCCTGCAATAAAATCCACCTAGATTGGACCCCATACATCAGAGTATATGACTTCCAGAGTTGCCTTCGACTTCCTTCCTGCATCCTTGCTAAAGCTATTCTTGTGTTGTTTCGACTGAACACACTCTTCACAAACTTCAATCATGAAGGTCCTATTTTGAGACATTGGAGCCTTCAAGATCAACCTACCATTCGCGTCGAGAACTCTCATCATCTTGTCTTCGACCGACACCTTGTAGTTCTTATTGACTAGATGCTCCTATACTTAGCAAATTACTCTTCATGCCTGGTATGTACAACACATTGGAAATTGTTGACCTCTTCCCATCTTTCCTCATAATCAAAATGTTGCTAATACCTTCAGCTGCTAGAGTATTGTTATTTGCAAATTTCACCATGTTCTTTGAAGAGGGCTTCATGTTGATAAACCAATCTTTCCTTCCAGACATGTGTGATGAACATCCTAAGTCCAAGTACCATTGGTCCTAGAATCTCTCTTCGTCTCTTGTTGTGACCATTAGCAACATCTCTTATTCTTCATGCTTCACCATCTTTGCAACAGTTTCTTGATTCTTTTTCGTTTCTCGACATTCACTAAAATAGTGACCATACTTATGACAATTGAAACACTGAATGTTTCTTTTGTCAGGCTTTCGTCCACCACCTCTTCCTCTACCTTCAGCACCACCTTTTTGGTTTCGTTAGTTCCAGGGTTTTCTTTGATTCGAGCAGTTTCCTTCCTGTTGATTTTGACTAGTCGAATTGTTGTAGCCTCCTTTACCTTTGGTGCCATTCCAGCTTCCTTTGCCTTTCCTTTCCTTTTCTGACTGCACTTGCAAAGCCATACCACTCTTCGACTTTCCTGCAGCTCTCTCAGCCATCCTTTGTTCATGAGACTCAAGTGTCCCTTGAAGCTCTTCCTTTGTCAATGTTGACAAGTCTTTCGACTCTTCTATGGCTATTAACACATGGTCAAACTTTGGAGCCAACAATCTCAAGATCTTTGCAACAACTGATCTTGATGTCAACACTTCTCCATATATCTTGATTTGATTCACCAGCTTTGTAGCTCTAGTGAAGAAATCTTCTATACTTTCACTTCTTCCATTTGAAGCAATTCATAGGTTCTCTTGTGAGTTTGTAACCTCACCTCTTTCACCTTTTATGTGCCTCCAAATGACTTTTCAATAATCTCCCATGCTTTCTTCGCTGAGTCTACATCTATAACCTTTTCAAAGTTATCTGGATCTACACATTCATGGATTACAAATAGAGCTTTATTATCTTTCTTCTTCAATTCTTTGAATGCATCTTTTTCTTGATCTGTCGCATTTCTACAAGCGATGCTACTCCTTCCTTCACAAGATCCCAAAGATATTTATAACAGAAAATCACCTTAATCTGCTTGCACCAATTCTCATAGTTATCTTTCTTGAGAATTGGATGGTTTGTCGGAAAGTTTCCGTTTGGATGATTCATCGCCATCACGATTTT